TGAAAGACTTGTTTTGTGTTCTAATATAAGATCTATCCTGGAGAGTGTTACATGTGCTGATGAAAAGAACGTGTATTCTGTAGCTGTTGGATGAAATTTTCTCTAATTGTCTATTAGGTCTATTTGGACCAAAATGCAGTTTAAATGCACTGTTTCTTTGTTAATTTTTTGTCTAGGTGATCTGTCCAATGCTGAGAGTATTGTATTGGAGTCCAACTATTATTGTATTGGAGTCTATCCCTCCCTTTGGATCTAATGATATTTACTTTATATATGCAGATGCTCTGGTGTTGGGAGCATAAATATTTAGAATTGTTATATCCCCTTGCTAAATTGATACCTTTGCGTTACATAATTATCTTTATCTCTTTTTACTGTTTTTGACTTGAATTATGTTTTATCTGATCTAAGTATAGCTACTCTTGATTAAGTAACTTAGTTTCTGTTTACGTGGAATGTCTTTTTCTGTCCCTTTACTTTCTTGTTTTTTCAATCCATTCATCTCGTCTGTACCTTTTAAATTAAAAGTTGAATCCATTTACTTTCAAAGTTGTTATTTTTAGGTGAAGACTTATTCCTGTAATTTTATTAATTGATTTTTGGTTGCTTTGTATATCCTTTGTTCATTTCTTTCTCTCTGATTGCTTATAATTGTGGTTTGGTGTTTTTTGATGTAGTAACATGTGAGTCCTTTTTCTTCCTTGTGTATTTGCTCTAATGTTGGGTTTTATGCTTTTGTGTGTTTTCAATGGTGGATGTCATTCTTTTGCTTACAAGTGTAAGACTCCCTCAAACATTTTTTTGTAGGCTTGGTTCAGTGGTGGTGAGTATTCGCAGTTTTTGCTTATCTAGGAAAGACTTCATTTGTCCTTCATTTATGGAGGATAACTTTGCTGTGTATAGATCTTTGGTTGTCAGTTTTTTTTCTTCTTTCAGTATTGTGAATATATCATTTCATTCTTTCATGGCCTGTAAGGTTCCTGCTGAGAAATCCATTGTCAGGCTATTAGGGGTTCCCTTCTGCTTGGGTAGATGCTTTTCTCTTGCTATTTTTAGAATTCTCTCTTTGTCTTTAAATTTTGACAGTTTGACTATTATGTGCCAGGGAGAAGAACTTTTTGAATTGTACTTATTTGAGGATTTCTAAAGTTCCACATCTGGATGTCTAAATCTCTTGCTAGACTTGGGAAATTTTCAGCTATTTTGTTAAATAGGTTTCTTTATGTCTTTGTTCTTTCACCTTCTGGAACACCTAAAATTCATATATATAGTTGCCTTTAAGGCATCCCACATGTCATGTAAGCTTTCTTCATTCTTTTGTTTTTATTTTTGTGTGCCCAGCTTAATTCAAAAGACCTTTCTTCAAGTTCTTAAATTCTTTCTTCTGTTTGATCTAGTCTATTATTGAAGCTCCTGATTGTATTTTTTATTTTATTTACTGAATTCTTCAGTGCCAAGATGGCTGTTTGATTTTTTTTTTTTTATGATCGCTATCTCTTTGGTGAATTTTTCATTCATATCCTGAATTATTTTTCTGATTTCTTTGCATTTTTTATCAGTGTCCTTTTGTATCTCACTTAGGTTATTTACTATCATAGTTTTGAATAATTTGTTCAGGCATTTCATTAATTTCTTTTTTGGTTGATTCTGCTGCTGGAAAATTATTGTATTCCTTTGCAGTTGTCATGTTTCCTTGCTTTTTCCTGTTTCTTGTGTTCTTATGTTTATATCTGTGCATTTGGGATAACAGTTGTTTCTTCCAATTATTTGTAGAAGACTTTTTCCCGTAGATGTATATATGGTGTTACATGGGCAGGGCACGTTAGCTTTGATTCTTGGTGCTTAAGGTAGGGTATTCTCTGCTTAATTTCTTTGGCTATAAGTGGCATCAGTAGTATCTATAACTTCCTCAATGGCATAGGCTGTGTTGTTAATGGAGGCCATGGTGAGGCTTTTCTGGAGCAGAGATGCCAGTGGGCTGGTTCTCTAGCCTTAGTCATGGCAGCAGTGGTCTGGGTATGCCTGACTTTGGGCCCCTAGGCAGTATACATGTTGGTGGGTCCAGCCATCTTGCTTGGATTTCAGAAGTGATGGTGGTGGGTCCTTAAGCCCCGGGACAATGTGCATGGCATGGATAATGACAGTAGTGGTGGTGGGATCTTGGAGGTTCCAAGTGGTATGCAATTGTGTTAGTGGTGGTTGTGATGGGCTGTGCATGCCAGGCCCCAGGCCCCCAGGTGGTACATACCAGTCAATAATGGTAATGGAGGTGGCAGCAGCCTAGGCAGGTCTATTCTCATGCTCTCAGGAAGACTGCACACCTACCAGTTGGAGCGGTGCAATCCCCAGGCCTCTGGATGCTGTGCTTTGGTGCCAGTGATAGGTGTTTTGGGCCCTCTGGTGATGTGCATGTGCACTCAGGGTGACCATTTGGTCAGGGTTATCCTCATGCCCCAGGTATCATGATTGGGTGGGAGCAGCAGTGGTGGTGGTGGGCAGGGAGAGCCTGTCCCCAGGATATGTGCAAATGTGTGATGGCCCTCCTGCTTGGGTGGGGGATGGGGTTGCTATCAGTGACAGTGGTCCCAGGCAGGCAGCTCTCAGGCTCTGGGGAGCAGATACTTCAGGTCCCTTTGTCTTTGAAGCAGCCTTGTATGCCCTGCCCCCCACCCCACATACCAGATTATAGGACACAATGTGGGCAAGAGTGCTTGGGCCCCTGCTGCACTGCTGGATCCAGCCATTGTGCCACTGCAGCCTCTGGGTAGGCATGAGAGGTGGAGATGCAGGGGCCATTGGGCTCCAGGGCAGCATGGAGTCTGGTGAGGTTTGGGTTCTCAAAATGGCACTGTGCTGTAGTTGCTTGGGCCTCAGCAGGTGCATGAGCCCCCTTTCTGGCGCCTTGCTGTCACATGGACTCTAAGAAGCTCCCTACACAGGTCTCAGGGCCTGTAAGTCAAAGGATTCATCCATGGCCAGGATCGCAGCAGTCTGTCCTGGGAATGTGGACTGGTGGTGATCTGTCACTTACCCTTTGCCTGCTCTGGGGAGCCTCTCCAGGAGCTCTCACTCAGCCAAGCCCAGCTAAAGCAGCTGCCGTACCTCCCTCCCCTTTCTTGCCTCAAGAGTTTCCAGTCACTTCTCTGCTAAATTCAGTGTTCTTTCTTTAATGTTCTATTTGAAGTGTAATTATCCTCTCATGGTTTTGGTTCTTTGTGGAGGAGAGTTTCAGGTGCCTCTAGTCACTCAGTGTAATCTTTTTAAAGTTCATATTGTTGTTTTACATTGCTAGTTCATTCCTTTTTGTTGCTGAAAGTATGTCATTATTTATTTTTTCTTCTGTTGGGAAAATTAAGTTCTTTTTCCTTTTGGTCTAATATGAATAAAGCTGCTGTAAACTTTCTTCTACAAGTCTTTTTGCAGATAATTGCACTCCTCTGGACTTATTCCTAGATGTAGAATTGCAGGACATAGGGTAGGTGTACGCTCAATTGCTTTACTATTTTTAAAATAAAATGTTTTATTTTTTTATTTTTTTGAGACAGATCTGTCTCACTCTGTAGCCCTCGGTAGCGTGCCATGGCATCACAGCTCACAACAACCTCAAACTCTTGGTCTTAAGCGATTCTCTTGCCTCAGCCTCCCACGTAGCTAGGACTACAGTGCCTACCACAATGCCCGGCTATTTTTTGCTGCAGTTGTCATTGTTGTTTAGCTGGCCTGGGCCAGGTGTGAACCTGCCAGCCTCTGTGTATGTAGCCAGTGCCGTAACCACTGTGCTATGGGCGCCAAGCCCAAAATTTTTATTTTAGAATAGTTTCAGATTTCTAGAAAAATTGCAGAAATAATACATTGAAGTCCCTTATCTTCACACTAGGTTTCTTCTATTATTGGAATCTTACATTAATAGGGTAACATTTGTCACAATTAATGGACCAATACTGATACATTATTATGAACTCAGGTCCATTACTTTTCACATTTCTTTCATTTTTACCTAAAATCCTTTCTCTGTCCAGGATCCCATCCAGGATATCATATTAAATCATTTTTTATGTCTCCTCCGGGTCTTCTTGGCTGTGACAGTTTCCCAAACTTGCTGTGTTTTTCATGGCCTTGACAGTTTTGAGAAGTAATAGTCATATATTTTATAGGGAATATCTCAACTAAGACAGCCTCATGTTTTTCTTATAGCTAGACTGAGATCATTTTGAATTTAGGGAAGGAAGACCACAGAGATAAAGTGCTATTTTCTGTACATCACATCAAGGGCACATACTCTAGACATGAATTCTGATCACCGATGTGAACCTTGGCCACCTGGTTAATGTAGTGTTTGTCAGGTTTTTCCACTGGGAAGTTACTCCCTCTCCCCTTTTATGCTTTATTCTTTAGATGAAAACCATCTTTTTTTTTTCTTTTTGAGACGAAGCCTCAAGCTGTCCCCCTGGGTAGAGTGCCATGGCATCACGCTCACAGCAACCTCCAACTCCTGGGCTCAAG